TTCACATTTTGTGAGATTAACAAGTATTGTTCACTTTTTAAATTTTTTTTTGTTTCTTTTGATGTTGTAACTGTGAACACTTGCCAACAATAAGTCAAACATTTGTTCTTGGATTTTTACAAAACGTGAGGTAGTGAGCACCATGTGTCCAGGATTAATCTACTTGTACATTACCGTATATATAAGCATGTACATAATGTGAGTGTGGTGGAGCCCACGACACTGTAGCGTAAGTTCCACCTCCACTCACATTATGTACACCCTTATGTACATGTTAATGTACAAGTAGCATTGTCCATGTGTCCATGTCAATATTCTAGAAAGTGTTGATAAACGTGGAATAAAATATTCTTTTTTTTTTGTTCCTGTCATCATTTGTATTTTTTTGACTGTAAACACTTGCCAACAATAAGTCAAACATTTGTTCTTGGATTTTTACAAAACGTGAGGTAGTGAGCACCATGTGTCCAGGATTAATCTACTTGTACATTACCGTATACATAAACATGTACATAATGTGAGTGTGGTGAAACTCACGACACTGTAGCGTAGGCTCCACCTCCACTCACATTATGTACACCCTTATGTACATGTTAATATAAAAGTAGCATTGTCCATGTGTCCATGTCAATATTCTAGAAAGTGTTGAGAAGCGTGGAATAAAATATTCTTATTTTTTGTTCCTGATGATTTGTATTTTTTTGACTGTAAACACTTGCCAACAATAAGTCAAATATTCGTTCTTGGATTTCTACAAAACGTGAGGTAGTGACAATGTGTTCGTGTCAATATTCTTGAAAGTGTTGATAAATGTCAAATAAACTGTTCTTACGAAAGAATTATTGTTTTGTTCCTATCATGATTTATTTATTTTTACTGTAAAGTGTAAACACTTGCTAACAATAAGTCAAATATTTGTTCTTGGATTTCTACAAAACGTGAGGAAGTGAGCACCGGCGTTCATACCTTCATTGTATGTTTTAAAATTGGTTTATTGGAGTTCAAAAGAAAAAAAATGCCCTTAAATGAATAAAACGATTACAAAATATGATTTTGTTAAAAAGACAATACTATCCTTAGTTAACAAATAAAAATCAAACACTCCCTACTTAAAATTTCAAAATCAGCTCCAACACAGATAAAAAACAATTACAAAATATGGCTTTGTTATTTAGACAATAGTACCCTTTTAGTTAACAAAAAATTGAAACTCTCTCTATTAAAATTTCAAAATCAGCTCCAACACAGATAAAAAATCTCTCATCTTCTTCACACTGAAAATCCCAAAAATATCGATAGTTGAAGAAAAAAATTTCTGTCAATTATTTTGAATCAATAAGTATATTTACGTATGTTTAATTTCGTTTTCGTTAAATGTGTAAGAAAAATTTCGACTGATCTGTTAACAGACCATTTTTTCTTAACACCCGAAATGGTATGTTAACATGCCAAAAATGGTCTATTAACAGGCGAAATGGTCTGTTAACAGACCATTTTCACCTATTTTGGCAACACCACGCTGTATCTGCTTCAATATTTTTGTCATAACTTTTTTTCCCGATATCCGATTAAGGTGATTCAAAATGAGTTAGAAAGATAACTCAAAGGGCTACAACATTTCTAGATATAGCTCTTTTTCAATTCGAACGTTTACTGGGTAAAAAATGGATCTCAATCTCCAACTAAAAAATTAAACATCCTTGTGCGGTTGAAAATTGATTTTTTTTTTTACTCCTTTTGATCTTTAATTGTATCCATTTGATCCCTAGTATTCTCGAATCTTCATTGTGAGTTTCTACACAACTTTTGAGTATTTACACTTTAGCCCCTAAACTTTGGATCTTGTCATTTTCACTTACATTCATTGAGTTTCACGTAATAACACATTATATAATATATTAGATTATAATTACATTGAAAGAATTACGAAATGTCAATATTTTAGAGCCCGGATAAGTGTATAAACTTATCAAGCCAAAAATTCGTAAGTTTTTGTTTTTAAAAAGTTTATGTTCCCACTGTAAGCCAAATTTTTGAATGAATATTTACAAATTCTGTTTTGTCATGCAAATATATGAAGATTGTACTATCGATTTGTTATTTTAGTGAATTGGATGAGAATAATCGATGGGCATGAAAATGGACGAATGACATACCAAGAGTTTGTTTGGGAGGGATTAAAATCAAATTAAAATTGAAAGTATAGCCGTCAGAGTTGACTTTTATTAGACGAGTGAGACCCAATAAAAGCTATATTTTCAATTTTAATTGGATTTTAATCCTTCCCAAACATGTTCCAAGTGGTACGAGGAGATTATATCGTACGAGGAACCGTACATTTAATTAAAGAATTTTAAATTAAAAAATTAAAAAGAAAAAAAATAATTTGCTAATTTGTCAAAGAATAATATTTTATTTTAGTAATTAAATAATATTCAGATTCTTTATTTAATTTTAATAATTAAAAAAATCGTATTCGTAATTATCAATTTGAAATTAATTATTTAATTATACAGATAAAAAATTCAAACAAAAGGAAATTATTAAAATTAAATAAAGAATATAAATATTATTTAATTAAATTTAAAAAATTAAATATTTTTTTACAATGAATATTTAATTAAAGAATTTTAAATTAAAAATTAAAAGAAAAAAAAAAGAATTTGCTAAAAAAAAAACTAAGAATTTGCTAAAAAAAGAAATAAATATTTAATTTTCTTAACTATCAATTTGAAATTAATTATTTAATTATCCATATAAAAAATTAAAACACCAGGAAAATATGAAAGTTACGTAAACAACATAAATATTATTTAATTAAATTTGGAAATTAATTTACAAAGAAAATTTAATTAAAGAATATAAATATTATTTAATAAAATTGAAAATATTAAATATTTGTTTTTAATGAATATTTAATTAAAGAAATACAAATTTAAAAATTAAAAGGAAAAAAATGAATTTGTTAATCCTTCAGAAAATAATATTTCATTTTAGTAATTATCAATTTCAAATTCTTTATTTATTGATATATATAAAAAAATCAAACCAAAGGAAATTATTAAAATTAAATAAAGATTGCCAGTCGAGGTCTCCACAAGGTTAACTGCGGTCCCAACAGTGTTGCTTCCATTGTTTACATCTCCATTTCCATGTGACGCCATTTAACTTTAGAACAAGCAACAAATAATTTAAAATACTTATAAATTCGAGATCTAAGTTATCTGTTTGAAAAAAAATAAAATTTTAGAACAAATTATTTTGTCAAATTATTAACAACTTAACAATCATTGAAAATGAAATAAAACTCATTAACCAATGATTAAAATCAATCATTAAAAGAAAAGGTAAACAATAATATTCTAATGATGAGACAATCATGCTAGTAATTGTAAAACAATTCAATAATCATTACCAATGATTGTAAAACCATATTTGTTGATAAAACCATGCAAAAACATATGTTAAACCATGCAAAATCACTTCTTTGAAATCATGCAGAGACCGAATGGCAATAATTTTTTTTTTTCCTGATTCAAACCTAATAAACTTACTGCGTGCAATTAAATAGATAAATTATCAGCCAAATTATGTAAATAGTAAACAAACTGAAGGTGGGGAGAAAAAAAAGGACAGTAAACAAAGAAAAAAAACTGCAGTAAACAAATTGGAGAAAAAAAATTTTGATTCTTAATTTTCCCGAAATGAAAATTCGATTTAAGCTTTTTGGGGAAAAATTAGAGAATCAAAGTAAATCACACCAAAACCGAAGGTCCGTGTTTACATGGTTTCCTTAAATCGAATTCGTCGACTCAGCAGGGTACAAGAGGTTTTGATCGGTGTTCGATTCCCAGGATAGAATTGATTGTCAGTTCACGCTGCACAACATAACCCGCCTATGAACTAGCTGTGTTTATCTCTCAAAGAACTTTAGCAAATGAAGAAAATGAACAAAACCGGAAAGAAGAAATTTGATGTTGAAGCTTAGACGGAAAGCTTGTATTTCTCTTGCGTTTTCAACTGAGATATATCATCTATTTATACCCATAGAACAGGAGCATGCTCATTAATACATTGAATACAGGAGTTATAGCATTAAAGATAAAATGGATGAAACTGATTGTGATTTGAATGGATGAAACTGCTTGTGTAACTTTCCAACGGATGACCTTTCCATTACTTTTCATTCAATATTTTCCAACATGCTATTACTTCGTTTTTTGCCATTTGTACCTTCTGTCGTTGTTTTTAGAATGATGCTCTTGAGATTTTTAGGGGTCTAAGAATTTTTTACTCGTTTGTCTTTTAATCAATGTGTTGAGCCTAAGACAGAGATTCTTTCATTCTATTGCTCCTGGTGGCCTTGCTGGGGATAGGCGAGTTGTAGTTCGTGATTCTTTCATTCTATTGTTCCTGGTGGCCTTGCTGGGGATAGGCGAGCTGTAGTTCCTGCTTCTGGCTTTTCATTTAGTGCGCAACAAATTAAGAAGATCATCAAGGAGAACAAGGATCTGACCTGCCTGCTCACAAAGTCTTCATCTAAACATCTAACCTGATGTCATAATAAACTATTCGGATAGATCACCGCTGATGCATTTGCTTATCTACTGTAGGTCATGGTTGCCACTGTACGTTGTGGAGAGATTGCAAATGAGAAATTTTCTTCTTTTATTGCAAACGAGGTAGCTTTTCTTGTAAACATATTTTTGAAGGTTTTGCTTGATTCATAATATTTTGCTTTATTTTATCTGCACGCACAAATTCAAACATCATAAAACATTAAATGTAATTTGATATTACATTTATGTAGGAATGGCGTCAACTGGAAGAGAATGTACAATCTTGAGGGACCTCAAGTTATTAGCTTTACTTTGTTCTTCTACAGTTAGTTCAACTATTTTGTTCTTCTTTCTTCTATGCTTTTCTTATCTGTTACAATATGTAATATTTTGAGAATTTTGTTGTAGGGAAGGACCAGTCAGTAGTTTTATGGAGTATCCATGACCATATCTCTTCTCTGGCAACAGATCAGGGGAGCTGCAAAGTCTCCAGGATCTAAGGGTGGCGCTGTCAATGGAAAACCTTCAAACAGCCCCACCATTCGAGCTAGAGGAATTTTCCAAAGGCACATTGATACTGTTGAAGATGTTCAGTTTTGCCCTTCAAGGTAACTGGCACAATCATAGAACATGCTTAACAAAAGAAGTTGCTTTCTTATAAGCTAGGGTCCCACAAATTCTGTGGACCAAAAATTATTTATATGCCAGATAAGCTAGAAATTCACAACTTATCTGGGTTATAATCTAGGCTTTTTTGGTCCACAATTTGTGATACCTCGTACCCCAGCTGATAAGAAACAATTGTTTCTGCGAAACATGCACATAATCAAACCCACCTATTTGTTTGAGATGGGAATTTTCAAATTATGTCTCTGTTACTGCTAACAGATATGAACATCAGTTAAGCATGAATATGACTTTGAAGTTTTAAAATCAGCTGATGAGTCATATGTTAGAAGTTTCTCATGCAAATGTCAATGAATAACTTGTGAAGTAGCTCATTTTGTTGCTAAAGCCTTCCCCATTATAGCATGAAAGATGAAGAATTGTTCCATATTTAGTTATACTCGTTTCAAACTCTGATACAGTGCACAGGAGTTCTGTAGCATTGGTGATGATTCTTGCCCTGTCCTATGGGATGCTAAAACTGGCTCTGCTCCTGTTGTTAAGGTTATCTTTCTTCATTTTACATTTTTGAAAGGCTAATGATCAATGTGTGCATAAGATGTTAGCTGATGTGTAGATTATTCTGTTTCTCTATCTTTCATTTTGTTATGCTTGTATTACTGTTTTCCATTTTCCATCATTCACCCCCATACCTATGCTTTTTCATTGCTCTAATGTCACTTGCAGCCTATAGTTATTATGTAAATGTCATCGACTGGCCTTTGTGGTTTTTTTATTTTCTCACAGGTCGAAAAGGCTCATAATGCTGATCTTCACTGTGTTGATTGGAATCCAAATGATGTAAATCTGATGGGGTATTTTCTGCCCATCATCGACTTAACTATTATAATCATTTTAATCACATCGATCATAATGCAAGGGGACAATTTTAGTGAAGATCCCATTGTACTTGGTGACTTTTTAAATAAGTCATTGCTGTGATCACTTTTTATTTTATTTATATATTCGGAGTCTTATCATGGGATAAACTCTGCCTCCTTCAGATCTGCCGATAAAACTATGCGTATGTTTGACCATTGAAATCTTACTAATGGTGGAGTTGGATCCCCAATCCACATATTCGAAGGTCACAGTGCTGCAGTCCTGTGTACAGGTGCCAGACATGTTTTTAAGTAGGAGAGTGTTGTTATTGCATATTTTAACTAGCAATTTAACAGTGATATTCCAGTGGTCGGCAACAGGTCATCTGTCTTTGGTAGTGCTGCAGAGGACGGTATCCTGAATATATGGGATTATGGAAAGGTGTGGAGTCACTGATAGTCGCACCTTATTCAACCCATACTACATCTGCCATGGTTTGATACGTAAATTGTAGTTTTCCCTCTTTATGTTTGAAGCTCTGATGTAGGTTTTTTTTTTTTTGCTTAGAATTTAATATTGATTCAACATTCGAACTACTGTATTAAAATTTTCAAATGTTCATCCGGATTTTCGGTTTCTTAATGGGAAACTATTGGTGGCGATACCCTTGGATATCAAAACTTTTCCTAATGTAAACTGCTTTCGTCTACATAACATGTATGATGGTTTTAATCCATCTTTATTTAACAATTCCCGCTTCTCATTATTACATTTAGTTTTCAAATTCTTGAATTATGCTTTATTCTTTGCTTTCTATGAGTTTTCTTACCAGTTGCTTCTTCTACATGTTTCATCTGGTTACACTTGCAATATTCAAATTATAACCATTCTACCATATTTGATCCCCATGTATATGTGTATATATACCAGTGTTCTAAATAGCGTAATGCGTGGCCATCCGTGGATGCCAAGGAATGGACTAGGCGAGCAAATGCGAGGCTTTTGCGTAAAAAAGCGTAAAAAAACGTTTTCTTATTTTAATATTTAATCAATCAAAAATTCATTTAAAAATTGAAAATAACACATACTAAACATTTATAACATATTTATATGAACTTTATACAATTATATTAATTATCAGTCAATTAAAAATAATACTTACTAAACATTTAAAACAGAATTATAAGAACTTTATACATTTTTTCAAAATTTCTAATAAAAAGATAAGTTTCAAATTTAAATACAAAATAGTAAACAAATAGCATGGGAACTTAATATTTCAATTAAAGATTGGCTAGTGTCCCTCAACTCCTATATGTTCAATTTATGTCCTCAATATTTCAAATTGTGGGAAAAAATTAAAAATAATGCACGATAATGCGTGCCTTAGCGCACATTACCATGCATTAGCGGTCAACTCCAGGCGTTGACCGCCAAAAAAGCGTCAAACAACTTAGCGTAGCGTTTTGGTCGAGCATAAATTAAAAATAATGCACGATTATGCGTGCCTGAGCGCACATTACCATGCATTAGCGGTCAACTCCAGGCGTTGACCGCCAAAAAAGCGTCAAACATCTTAGCGTAGCGTTTTGGTCGAGCAACGCGCAATAGCGAAGAATAGCGCAGGCTATTGCGAGCTATTTAGAACACTGATATATACGCTACAAGAACCAAAGAAAAGAAAGGTGAAAGAAAGAGAAAAAATGAACATGCTTTGCTATAAAAACTTACAATTATACAAACAATACCTTACTTATAGTAACAAAAATACCTTCAAATCACTCCACACTATTAAATGACCAATTAAAATATAGCATGTTCATCGCACGTGCCTACACTAGTTTTCCAAAGAATTATTGCTTTGTTCGTTGAGCTACGAGCCACGTGTATGATAGAGCTGAGTGAAAGAAAACAAAATTTTAGGGTTCATTGATGGATCAAAGATTTGAGTCAGCATGGACGACCGTTGACCGTCAGCCGCAATAAAATATTTAGAGTCCGTTTGATGCCTATTTTTTGCAAAAAATGGATTTTCGGATAATGATTTAATGGAGAATGTGTGGTTAAAAATAAGGAAAAGTTTTGAATTTGCATGTGTTATATTATTTTATCAGAGAAAAAATGTATGAAAAAAATGGAAATCAAACAAGGCCTAAAATTTAAATATAGCAATTATTTTGTTTAAACTTAACATGTAACTCCCCAAATTTTCATCAATCTGGAGTGTTACGAAAACTTTAATCTTTCTTTGTAAAAAAATGCGAAAGGATACAAATAAAAGAAATTCTTTATCTTTAAACATAAATATCAATTAAATGCGGGATCTGAGTTATAAAAATTTAGACATACTCAGTTGACTAATTAACAAACGAGTCTCTGTATAAATAAAACTGACAAATAAATTTAGAGACATAAACAAATAAATGATTATCTTTCTTTATTTTTCGATCCACTAGGCACTTCGCATCACTATTCTGTCACTATTCTAATCGACCCGAACTAACCTGTCAAATTATTGTAAGAGAGTATTTAAAAATACCCAGTAAGATATGTGCAGTTTTCATACGCAATTATATAACAATAATATCAACAATTCATACCACATTTCTCTTTATGAAGTATATCGGTGACCAAACGAGATACCCATCATTTCACATTTTGAATTCCCAAAGGATTTCACATTTCGTTAGGTCGAACCCGAAGGTCCACTGGTAATTCATGCATAAATTACTGAATATAAAAGTTTAAGGAAACAAACCACTTGCACAGAAATATCTTAGATCGTTATATGAACTGCCTATGAAACGGAATTTGTTATTTTAACGGAAAATCTAACGGAAGTTTTATTGTTTCCGTTAAATAGCAATTAAGTCTTGACCCATTCCTTTCATATTCCTTGCTATTTGACTGGATTTGGCTCCTAAATTGCTCGATTCTTTTTCTACTCCACTTGAAGCCCGGTAAATCTCTTCTCTCTCCCTCCCTCTCCAGTCTCCAGTTCATAATATAAAGGATTTCGATCGATGGCCCAATATCATGTTCAACATTAAAATAAATAACCATAAAATAATATTAAATGAAGTAATGATTGAATATACCTTCAATTGCAATAATTCCCACTCCCAGAAGATGTTACTGTCAACAATGGTGGTTTCAATACTA